CCAAGGTTTGAAACGATCATCTTGAAGCCAAGATTCCGAAAAACTTCGTTTACGTGTATTTTTTGCCTTGTCACTCATTTTTAAAGTAAAAAATAGAAGTCAGAGAATAATATATGGAGTAATTCGAAATGCACGATCGCAGTCGGAATCCCTGCGATACGAGTTAACTGTCTGAACACGAAAATATTACAAATGCATATAAAATATAAAATATAAATAAAATATTTACTTGCAAGTATAAAGTGACAGGACTTTAAGACTCCAGTTTCGTTTGCCAATGCGCCAATAATTAAAAAACTATACAATAATAAAACATTAAAAAAAATATAATAAAAGAGAAAAGAAATATAATTTATATCTCACTAGTTACGGCTATAGTATCTCCTTCAAACAGCAACACGCAGCGAAACAATGTCTCGTAAAATATTAAATTATAATTATTATAATAATTATAGCACTGGGAAAATAAATATACGTATTCAACAAAGATTTTCAAAGATTTTCACTGGACTGTAACCGACGGTAACAACCAAGAAAGTGAGCATTGTGTTTTGATATTAGGAATTATATTTTATAGATGTATACAGAATTGACCGCGAGACGTGCGAGTGAATAAATGCAAAATCTTGAAACAGACGAAGACGGAAGAAGTGTGTTAAGATTGCTGTTTTCGTATTCAGCTGTTGTTGTATTCAGCTGTTTTAATAGAAAAATAAAATATATACAGAAATTGTTGAAAATTAAATTACATATAACACTAAACTTTCATACATTTATTTTCAATAATTTCTTTATATATTTTATTTCTCTATATGTACTTTATACTACTCTATAACAATCTTCAAACCATAAAAGAATTTTTTAATAGACGGTCGAGAATTTAGAGAAATTTACTTTTATTTTAACTTTAATTATTTATTTTATTTTTGCACAAGATATGGTCCATCAACATCAAAACAATAAAAATTACTTTTACCTTAAATTATAATTTTAAAAAAGTGGTACGATAGGGCTCCAGGCGACGATTCACTTTAAAAAAATCGAACGTGCCTAGTTAGTGGAACCTCAAAGGTGGTGTGGAAGACCACTATTATAAACACTTAAAATTACTAATGAACTAATAATACGCTACACATATTTTAACATGCTAACAAGAGTGCAATAAATCTTTGATCTATTTGACTGCATTTGTAAGATGTATTTGACTGCATTGTATGTTACCGTTTCTCCACTAATCTCCACAGTACAGTAACTCTTGCTAATATGCAGTAATTTAAAATAAATAGTTAAAAATTTTCCAGGTGTGTAATCTTTCGATAGAGATAAATGTTAAGAAGCGTGGCTAATCGATTAAGGCGAGTGGCAGGAATATTGAAAATCTTGTGTTTGAAAACTGCTTTTGTAACATTTTTTTCTTTTTTGTATTATTTGTTTTTAGCACTGTACCATCAAGTGAATCATTAGATAATGCTTTTGGCTTAAAAAATATTA